AAAGAAGTTCATCTTAGTCCAAATAACACCAAATCTCACATTCATAAGTGTTAAACACTTGAACATAACTGACTTAACATAGTCATATTTTGTATAAACTCATGTACGTTAATAGCTAGCCTACAATTGTCTTTGTAAAGGGTAATATATCTATTAAAAAATTGTTAAACTGATGTATTGTTCCATTTTTTCTAGTTAATACCACTTCATGCAAAATGTATTTCAGATCTCATCACCTCTGCATGGATTGTCAGAGGAGTTATAGTTCCATTGGAATTAATATTCCAGTAGAAATATAATTCCAGTGATTTTTTTCCAGTGGAATTCTACTTGTATTTTTTTGCTTCACTGGAATTCCACAGGATTTTTGTTTTCTTCTCTGGAATTCCAGTGGTATTCCACTGAAATATTTCATTCCAGTGGAATCTCACTGAAATTCCAGTGTTATTTTCAATGGGTATATATATATATATATATATAAGGAGGTGAGAAGCATGTGATTTGTAGTCTGTGACCTTAACAACTGACTGAGCCACCGCTGCTCCCAGTAATTACAGTGCTTCCCAAAGTCAATAAAATCAATACAGATGGAACTCCATAATATAATTTATGTATACTTCCTGCAAAATTGGCAATTATATTTATATATTATATATATTTACATTATTATATACATTCATGCAAAATGGACATGGAGTTGAAATAACCACAAGAAAAAAAATGGTTTCTGAGGATACTGAGTTTTCTCATCATTCATAATTTCATGAATAATAGTGAATTTTGTGTATTTGAAATATTCATCAAAGTTCATGATTTCTGCTCAGTCAATCTTTAAGAAATTTTGATGAATTTTAATGAATTTGCATTATTCATTTAAATTCATCAAAGTTCATGATTTCTCAAGGATATGCCTTTCATGAATTCTGATGAATTTTAATGAATTTTTGCTGTGCATAAAAGTCCATGAATAATTCATAATCACAAACTTCATGCAGATTCATGCATTTTTATGAATTTATTAATTATTCATAAAAGTTCATGAAGAATGCATGAAAGCAGGTTGATGAATATTCATGAATAAGTATTCATGAATTTCAAACTGTCTATATTCATGAATGTTCATGAATTGTTCATGACCATTCATGATTTCATGAATACCCTCTCGCAGGGGCAGTAACAACTGATACCTGTAACAATTGATGCTTGTAACATTGACTGATGTCTGTAACAACTGATGCTTGTAACATTGACTGATGCCTGTAACAACTGATGCCTGTAACATTGACTGATGCCTGTAACAACTGATGCTGGTAACAACTGTAACACAGGATTTTACAAGCCTAATGACACAGGGTTACAATATGACAACTATAAACTTAGTACAAGATACACCCTTCTCCACACAATATAACAACAACTATAAACTTAGTACAAGATACACCCTTCTCCACACTATATGACAACTATAAACTTAGTACAAGATACACCCTTCTCCACACAATATAACAACAACTATAAACTTAGTACAAGATACACCCTTCTCCACACTATATGACAACTATAAACTTAGTACAAGATACACCCTTCTCCACACAATATGACAACTATAAACTTCCACTGAGTCATCCTACTGGTATGTTGTATGGTCCATTTCAAATTTGCTGAATCTTATTTTTTATGATTTTTGTTTATCTTTGATTCATCAACAGAAAATCTAGAAGAGACCATGCATTACTTGTAAGATAGCCCAAAATAGTAGATAACGCCTTCCTGTCTTCATGCAGACCCCACTACCAGCTGTAAGGGGGTGGGATATGTCTACAGGGGAGTGCCTGTCTGACAGGCTAAGGATGGAGGCAATACATCCTGACATAACGGCCGGGCAGCAGGATAGGATAACATATCTTTTAATTCAACACAACTACACTTCTGTTGAAGCATGACACACAATTAATACATGTACAAAATGTTTTCTTTCTTTTTTTTCTGCATAAAATAGAAATATTTTGGCCGATAAGTAGCTAAGGAATTACAAGATGTCTGAAACAATTAAAACAGATGCTAATTATCTGGTAAACATTAGGCAAATAACCTATATAGGAAGATGTAGATTGTTGATGGTTATAAACAACCTGTATAACTATACATCAATACACTGCAATACTCTGGGGTTCATTCAATACAGTGATAAACTAAAAGGAGAAACATCAATAGTTTGCATTAATAATGAAGTCTAGATTTGCTGATCCACTCTGGCGTGTTGGACATTTTTTTAACAATTGTTTTGAAATCCTTGTAATTTTCTGTAAACAAAAACAAGTCTTGCTACAGAAACTAGGTTTTCAAGCAAAAGAGTAACTATCTAACACTGTATACGGTAGCAGTTTGATTTGCCACTGTTTAAGCCCACTCTCACCATCTATTCTAGGTTTGATTTGCCACTGTTTAAGCCTACTCTCATCAGCTATTCTAGGTTTGATTTGCCACTGTTTAAGCCAACTCTCATCAGCTATTCTAGGTTTGATTTGCCACTGTTTAAGCCCACTCTCATCAGCTATTCTAGGTTTGATTTGCCACTGTTTAAGCCCACACCCATCAGCTATCCTAGGTTTATACTGATTCCTGGATGTCCACGTTCTTGCTATTTTCAGACATCTGCTGACTTTTGGAAGTTTGTTGGATGAACTGACGTGAAGCAATGTTCTTCTATTGTTATTTTTTATCTGCTTGCATTTCAAATAATACAAAGGTGTAGATCCTTGTTTAACAATTTGGCAATATATATTACAATACTTATTAAAAAAGAGGCCCATGGGCCTTAACGGTCACCTGAGTCTACAGTATTTTTTATTTTTTTTGAAATATGTACCAATTTGAATAAAAAATAGTATAATGTTAACTTAACTTTGTCAGGACCATGAGCTGATCATTCCTAGACCAATTTTAAGTGAGATCGGCCTATTAGAATTTAGTAGCAAAATAGCGGCCATGGCAGCCAAATTGTATTTCTGATTGACCCGAAAAATAACAACACTCTGTCAGGACCATGAGCTGATCATTCCTACAAAGTTTCAGTTCAATCGGCCTAGCAGAACTTGACTTTAAGTTTGAAATAGTTTTTCAAAATGGCGGCCGTGGCGGCCATATTGGATTTCTGAACGACCCGAAAAATAACAACACTTTGTCAGGACCATGAGTCTATCATTCCTACAAACTTTAAGTTCAATCGGTCCAGCAGAACTTGACTTTAAGTTTGAAATAGGTTTTCAAAATGGCGGCCGTGGCGGCCATATTGGATTTCTGATTGACCTAAAAAATAACAACACTTTGTCAGGACCATGAGCTGATCATTCCTACAAAGTTTCAGTTCAATCGGCCTAGCAGAACTTGACTTTAAGTTTGAAATAGGTTTTCAAAATGGCGGCCGTGGCGGCCATATTGGATTTCTGATCGACCCGAAAAATAACAACACTTTGTCAGGACCATGAGGCGATCATTCCTACCAACTTTCAGTTCAATCGGTCCAGCAGAACTTGACTTTAAGTTTGAAATAGGTTTTCAAAATGGCGGCCGTGGCGGCCATATTGGATTTCTGATCGACCCGAAAAATAACAACACTTTGTCAGGACCATGAGGCGATCATTCCTACCAACTTTCAGTTCAATCGGTCCAGCAGAACTTGACTTTAAGTTTGAAATAGGTTTTCAAAATGGCGGCCGTGGCGGCCATATTGGATTTCTGATCGACCCGAAAAATAACAACACTTTGTCAGGACCATGAGGCGATCATTCCTACCAACTTTCAGTTCAATCGGCCCAGCAGAACTTGACTTTAAGTTTGAAATGTAAAATGTTAACGGACGACGGACGACGGACGACGACGGACGAAAACGGATAGCAATAGGTCACTTGAGCTAAAGCTCAGGTGACCTAAAAAAAAAACCATTATATTTTATGACTACTTATCTTGAGTGGCAAGACACAGTCCCATCTTGAATTATGTAACGAACTTGAATATCTGCTTTTTCTTCTACAGTAAACTTTTGTGTGCTTTATTATAGGTTTTAGTATACCAAGTCCTTTTTTTCACAATTTGTTTATCTTATTCCGACAGTGCGGTAGTTTAAAATTTGCAGCATATAACATTCCTGAGATGTAATTAAACCATATGTCACTTAATGATTAAAATACAACATCTGGCTGCGTGTTTCTAATGGCCCAGACAATACAGGCTACACCAGATTTCCACTAAGACTGTTTATCTGGCCAGAATCTAAACCACACACCACTTCTGCTGACATGTACCGTAGAGGTTATAGCAAACACCCTTGTATCTCTGCTGAAACATGTACCATAGAGGTTATAGCAAACACCCTTGTATCTCTGCTGAAACATGTACCATAGAGGTTACAATAAACGCACACGTATATCTGTAGACACAGAGGTTACAATAAATGCCCTTGTATATCTGTAGACACAGAGGTTACAATAAATGCCCCAGTATATCTGTAGACACAGAGGTTACAATAAATGCCCTTGTATATCTGTAGACACAGAGGTTACAATAAATGCCCCAGTATATCTGCTGAGCAGTATCTGACAGACATGTGTTGACTGTGTAAGTAACATATGAGACAGCACAGTTTAGCCTAGAAAAAGACGCCATGACACCATCAGTGTGCTAGCTCCTAATAACAGACCTAAAAATTCCGAGACACTCTGCCAAAATCCAATTCTGACTTAAACACTTAGCAATGAAGAGGCCCATCCCTAAAACTAAATATTACATCAAAGACATCAATGATGATGTCAAACACTACATCAATACTTTACCTAGGTACATGAAGTTAAAGATAGGAATAAATCAACATTCTGTATCCTTATATTTTGTATTTGTTAATGTAAAAATGTATTTCTAAATAAGGTAAGCACATAACTGGTTTTGTAATTTGTAATCATGACCATTGTTACTACTATATAACAGATTCACCATGTACTTACCCACAACCATTAGCGTGAATTCAAATCCTTTCTTGACCGACTTCCTATACACTTGATTGGGTAAACTTGCAAATCCAACATAACCATCTAATTCCTTTGTACCATCCCCATATTTTTTGTCCTTGTCTTTGCCATGGTCTACTTCCTTGCGTGGAGGTTCCTGAATTCGTTCACGATCTACTCCGAAACGAGAACTTGGATCAAATTTTGGCAGTGGTGCTGATGGGTCACCACCTTTAAAGAAGGCCTCCCGTTTGGCAGCATTAATCTGGAAAATAAATCAAACATCTATATCTATCCCTTATTACCAAGTAAATATCTGGCCTTAATTGTCATTTATATGATTTTCTATTGTGACATCACTGGATGTTCCATTATAGCATCACAATTACGAAAATAGACACCACAGATGGTTCAAAATAGCATCGACACTTGAATATGTGTTTGGCTGGATGTTTTGTATTATCAGCATAAATTGAGTATGTGATAAAAGATCTCAACAAGTTTCCATTAATAAGATGTGAGAGTTGAGTGCAATGAATTTCATACCTAAATTTGAAAGTGTCTGTTCTGTCACCATCAATATTATACAATTGATAAAACTTGTTCAGTTTTTATATTATCTATTTTCTTATATTATTGTATATAAAACATGACTATTTGACCGCCTGAGAGTTGTTATGTCAACTGAGGGCGACGCCTGATTGTGAAATAACAACTCAAAGGTGGGCAAATCAACATGTCACCCCATAATATGGGCATCAATAGTATGTTTCCCTTCATTCCCCCATCGGACGTGGAACGGCATGGGGTCACCTGCCCGACTATATGGGTTTTTCTCTGGGTAACCTTTGCACACTAACATCCGGGCCAACAAGAGTCAATAACATAAGTTGAAATAACCTGTTTCATAATTGTTGTAAAATAAACATTGTTGTAAAATAAGTTTTTTGCCCTAGTGTTTGTTCATTGAACCAATTACTTCAAGATTCAAGATTCAAGAATCTTTATCAGGAAAACTTCCACTCAACATCAATATTCCCCATTACAATTCAGAGGACAAACAACATAACAACAATTTATTATACTGGCACTGATGTTATACATATATATAACATCAGAACCTGTATACACATTATACATATATATAACATCAGTGCCTGTATACACGTTATACATATATATAACATCAGTGCCTGTATACACGTTATACATATATATAACATCAGAACCTGTATACACGTTATACATATATATAACATCAGAACCTGTATACACGTTATACATATATATAACATCAGTGCCTGTATACACGTTATACATATATATAACATCAGTGCCTGTATACACGTTATACATATATATAACATCAGAACCTGTATACACGTTATACATATATATAACATCAGAACCTGTATACACGTTATACATATATATAACATCAGTGCCTGTATACACGTTATACATATATATAACATCAGTGCCTGTATACACGTTATACATATATATAACATCAGAACCTGTATACACGTTATACATATATATAACATCAGTGCCTGTATACACGTTATACATATATATAACATCAGTGCCTGTATACACGTTATACATATATATAACATCAGAACCTGTATACACGTTATACATATATATAACATCAGTGCCTGTATACACGTTATACATATATATAACATCAGTGCCTGTATACACGTTATACATATATATAACATCAGAACCTGTATACACGTTATACATATATATAACATCAGTGCCTGTATACACGTTATACATATATATAACATCAGTGCCTGTATACACGTTATACATATATATAACATCAGAACCTGTATACACGTTATACATATATATAACATCAGTGCCTGTATACACGTTATACATATATATAACATCAGTGCCTGTATACACGTTATACATATATATAACATCAGTGCCTGTATACACGTTATACATATATATAACATCAGAACCTGTATACACGTTATACATATATATAACATCAGTGCCTGTATACACGTTATACATATATATAACATCAGTGCCTGTATACACGTTATACATATATATAACATCAGTGCCTGTATACACGTTATACATATATATAACATCAGTGCCTGTATACACGTTATACATATATATAACATCAGTGCCTGTATACACGTTATACATATATATAACATCAGTGCCTGTATACACGTTATACATATATATAACATCAGAACCTGTATACACGTTATACATATATATAACATCAGTGCCTGTATACACGTTATACATATATATAACATCAGTGCCTGTATACACGTTATACATATATATAACATCAGTGCCTGTATACACGTTATACATATATATAACATCAGTGCCTGTATACACGTTATACATATATATAACATCAGTGCCTGTATACACGTTATACATATATATAACATCAGTGCCTGTATACACGTTATACATATATATAACATCAGAACCTGTATACACGTTATACATATATATAACATCAGTGCCTGTAAACACGTTATACATATATATAACATCAGAACCTGTATATACATTATACATATATATAACATCAGTGCCAGTTTACACATTTACATCTACATGTATTGAGCAGATGAAGAATTTATTGGGCATGTTCAAACAAGTGTGCTTCACCTAAAATACATGTAATTTTTCTCTTAAAGAACTTTTGGTGTACTTTTATTCTTATCTTTCGATAAGTTAGAAACACAATAGAACCTTTCTTACAATACTGTACAATAATAACTTACCACAACTCAGTTAATTCCTGAAGTTTTCTCTTAGTTTGCAAATCATAAAAGTCATGTAATTTGTTAAACATATGAAGGTTACCCAAGGTGTTTGTTCAGTAAACTTATTTCTTACACATATGAAGGTTACCCATGGTGTTTGTTCAGTGAACTTATTTCTTACACATATTGAAGGTTACCCATGGTGATTATTCAGTGAACTTATTTCTTACACATATAAGGTTACCTGTGGTGTTTATTCAGTGAACTTATTTCTTACACATATGAAGGTTACCCAAGGTAATTATTCAGTGAACTTATTTCTTACACATATAAGGTTACCTGTGGGGTTTATTCAGTGAACTTATTTCTTACACATATGAGGTTACCTGTGGTGTTTATTCAGTGAGCTTATTTCTTACACATATGAAGGTTACCCATGGTGTTTGTTCGGTGATCTTATTTCTTACACATATGAAGGTTACCCAAGGTAATTATTCAGTGTACTTATTTCTTACACATATGAAGGTTACCCAAGGAGTTTGTTCAGTAAACTTATTTCTTACACATATGAAGGTTACCCAAGGTAATTATTCAGTGAACTTATTTCTTACACATATGAAGGTTACCCATGGTGTTTATTCAGTGAACTTATTTCTTGCACATATGAAGGTTACCCAAGGCGTTTATTCAGTAAACTTATTTCTTACACATATGAAGATGAAGGTTACCCAAGGTGTTTATTCAGTGAACTTATTTCTTACACATATGAAGGTTACCCGAGGTGTTTGTTCAGTAAACTTATTTCTTACACATATGAAGGTTACCCATGGTGCTTGTTCAGTGAATTTATTTCTTACACATATGAAGGTTACCCATGGTATTTATTCAATGAACTTATTTCTTACACATATGAAGGTTACCCAAGGTGTTTGTTCAGTGAACTTATTTCTTGCACATATGAAGGTTACCCAAGGCGTTTATTCAGGAAACTTATTTCTTACACATATGAAGATGAAGGTTACCCAAGGTGTTTATTCAGTGAACTTATTTCTTACACATATGAAGGTTACCCATGGTATTTATTCAATGAACTTATTTCTTACACATATGAAGGTTACCCATGGTGTTTATTCAATGAACTTATTTCTTACACATATGAAGGTTCTGTGGTGATCGCAATATTGGTGTATGACTAAACACTAAGAGTTGCTAAACAGGAAGGCTTCTTACACAGGAAATCCGCTTCCCTAGCTGTGACCTTGCCCCATAGCTGTGTACCAGCACAAACAGATCCGCCATGACCGATCTGGAGCCATCAATCACATATATGTACATATGTCATTTCCGGTTTGGGGTAGAAATTAACCCCACTTAAACCATTTCTTTTATCAACATGAGTTTGCTGTGTATGCAAATACAAGCTACTACAATCTACTCATTGAACTTAAACACACACAGAACGAGCAAAAGTCCAATATGGGATGCGATGACTAACCCTGTTACCAGGCACATAACTTGGTAACCATGACGGGTAGCTGCTATCTAGGATAGGACAGGCGATGTGAATATGGTACTTCTATAACACAGTAGTGAAAATGACCCTGTAAATATCATTGAGGATGGAAATGGCTCAGAGCTTATTACATTGTCTGGAGGGCCCATTATGAGATAGCAGGGGTATCAGGTTTTGTATGACACATCCATTCTTCAGATTAAAGGATATCAAATTACTTTTGAAAATGAATCATTATTTAGTTTAATGTATAATACAATAATCATGAAAATAAACATATCTTCTTGTTCTTCTCAATAATGATGACCTACATGTAACAGGATCCCTAATCAATCCATGACAATCCCCTACACACAAAATGTTAATCTGCCACACTCCCCTACACACAAAATGTTAATCTGCCACACTCCCCTACACATAAAATGTTATTCAATCTGCCACACTCCCCTACACACAAAATGTTATTCAATCTCACAAACAAAATGTTATTCAATCTTCCACACAAAATGTTATTCAATCTCTCACACACAAAATGTTATTCAATCCCCTATACACAAAATGTTATTCAATTTCCCACACTCCCCTTAACACATAATATTATTTATCAAATCCCAAACATTCTTGGCCCTACAGTCAAAATATTATTCATTCATTTTGCCTACACACAAAATGTTTTTCATTCAATACTTTCTAATACCCTTGATAGGACTCTAACCTTTACAAGAATTTTACTAAGACAACAGATCCATAATCCTCCTTATATATACTTTAAACAATATTTTCTCAATAAATATTAAAAACACTCCAGCATGTTGATATGAAATATAATCTTAAGCCTAGCCCAAGTTTTTACAAGACTCCTGCAGAGCCAACAGTTCCAAATTGTGGAAATGGTACAACTAGAACAGCCTGGGAATGTGTGAAGTTGTGGCAGCTGTACCAGTGATACTCTGCCGACCCCCTGGGGAGTCCTGATAAGGAGAGGAGCCTACCTACCCTTGGTAATCCAGGACTATGATGAGGGGAGGAGAGGGCCCTGCCCTCCATGTTCCTAGGGAGATAAGGTACTCCATCTCTGACCGTCATACTTAGATATAGCAAGGGAAGAGATACTAGGAAACGAAGTCTATCTCAACAGAATGTTCTCAAGTATAACAGACAAATATCACACAACATACAGCTAAAAGTTACTGTTACCCAAAAAGGGAGAGTACCCAAAACAACAGAATGTTCTCAAGTATAACGGACAAATATCACACAAGATACAGCTAAAAGTTACTGTTACCCAAAAAGGGTGAGTACCCAAAACAGGCAATTGTGGGGAAGCTCCCAAGAAATTATCATGCAATGCAAAAGAATTCCTTTAATGTTTGCAGTCATGGATCACTGAAATGTCAAATTCAGCATCCACATAATGCCATCAGTACAGCCAGCCTAGATGGATCGACCATGAAAGTATCGAAAGCATATCAGTTGTAAGGTAATTATGGACAAGATCAATTCTGATAGACCCGACGAGACCAATTCTGATAGACCCCAAGCTTTATTGGCTGTTGATTAGCATTACATGGACAATGTAAAGGTAACCACTATTACCAAAACAAAACTTTCGTGATTTACGTGCCGTGCGGCGCTATTTATTTGGATATTAATTTCTATTTTATAAAAAATCAGAATCAGAACCCCCATTGACTCTAGAATATTTGAACTATGTACAATTTTTTGCAGGCATTTATTGTTTATCCTTCATTAATATTAGCCAAAATACCAAAGTGTCCCTTTCAGGGTACAGTAATACCTGTTCAGGGGCCTTCGTGACCCTGATAGTATTCCACGTTCTATTTATAGAACCATGCACCAGAAATACCAACTTGTGTTAGAAATAAATGGTATCTATTTATGAAAAATTAACAAACATTTTTGGAATTGAAAGTATGCTATAAAGTACATTAAATTCATTAAAAAGTGTTCCGTTTAGGGTACAGTGACATTAGGGGAATGGTAGGCCTGATTCTGAGACCAAAAGTCAATAGTTATCACCATGAATAATTGAAACCTAGGGGTAGGGTAAGAGATTCTGGGACTAAAGTCCGTCATTAGCCCCCTATTGTCAGAGGCCTAGAAAAAGGTAGCTAGGATTCTGGGACCAAAGTCAGTAATTAGCCCTCTACTGTCTGAAGACTAGGGGTAGGTTAGGAGATTCTGGGACCAAAGTCTGTCATAAGCCCCCTACTGTCAGAAGCCTAGGGATAGGTAGCCAGGTTTCTGGGACCAAAGTCTGTCATTAGCCCCCTACTGTCTGAAGCCTAGGGAGAGGTAGCTAGGATTCTAGGACCAAAGTCTGTCATTAACCCCTACTGCCTGACTGACCTGTGACCCAACGTTTATCACTAGCTCCTACTGTCTGGAGCCTAGGGAAAGGTAGCTAGGTTTCTGGGACCAAAGTCAGTCATTAGCCCTGTACTGTCTGAAGCCTAGGGACAGGTAGCTAGGATTCTTGGACCAGTCAATGAATTTGAAATAGTCCCCTACTGACTCGAAGCCTAGGGTTAGGGTTTGTATTAGTACCTGGGACCCATTGTCATTGAATAGTCCCCTACTGACTCGAAGCCTAGGGTTAGGGTTTTCATTAGTACCTGGGACCAATTGTCAGTGAATAGCCCCTAATGTCTGTAGCCTTGGAGTATGATAACACTTGGTAAGTTCTGTTCACTTGAAAGTAATTAGTCCACTGGATGGGGGATAGGCAAGGCACACTGTGATGATGATATCATATATTCTATAAAGCTTAGACAGACAATACAATGAGACAAGGAGAATGCCTGGCAGGCAGCGCTGAAGATGAATTAGTATGTATGACAGCCTGTAGATGAAGAAGCCTGGTATACATGTGCATCAGTACAATGTGTACGAGGTAAGCTCCCATGTTTACATTATCACTACTGATAAGAGACTCCATATTGACAAATAGCTGATGAAAACCAGAAGGTCTGAGCCCCCGGAATCCCATGGCGGGGAATCTCATGGCGCTGTGTAAAATGTTTCCCTTTATTATCATAGGTTATCAAATCACAGGTTATCACCCAAACTACATCACTTACATCAAAGCTTAATCATCATTTCCCAGAAATAGAGTGTGGTGTTATGACCAGACTAGAACTATGGCCACACACAATGACACATCATGAACAACAAAGATTTTATTAACAGTTCACACTAATACTGTATAGTACGGTCCTCTCACCAAAAACTACAGTACTAAACTGCTTTTCCTACATCATCCACAGTATCATAAAGACACACATATATATATGTATGCCCTTAGTACTTGCATCTTGAATTGTGTGACCTTGACCTTAGGATGAAATCCTTGCCAAACGTGTATACAGGCCTTGATCTAGACCTTTTTAATTTACCTCGACTATAAAAGATGAGATCCTTGCTAACGTGAGTATCCAAGCTTTGATTCCATCAATCTAGATCAACATTGACCTTAGAAGATGATATCTTTGCTAACATAAATAGCTAAGCCATGCTAATGACCTCTAAAACCACATGAAACCTTTACTTTAAAATATTTTACATGAATCTTAAATATATGAATTATGTACTTTGAAAGATTAGGTATTAAGCATTTCCACGCCAGATTTATGAGTCCTGTCCAAGCTAGGAGGTGGCGAAATATAAATTACAATGTACAAAGTAGAAAATTACAATGTACAAGGTAGGGAATCAGGATAAAAACACAATAGAGGCTTGGAACTTACAACTGGTTGCTGGATCTCCTTGTTTTCCATCTGTATGGGGGCAGGTGGAGGTTTGTCGCTGGTGTACCGACCCACCCCAGTCATGGACCCTACGCTGCTAGCAGGGGAAGGCGATTCAGATTTGTCACCATTTGTGGTGCCATTACTATTAGACGGTGGTAGTGTGGTGCTCCGGTCTGATACGGGACTTGCTCGACTGTCTCCCACTTTTGGTTTTTCTGCTTCCTCCTTTCGGAAACTTGATCGAAGAAGGCGTGTTCGTTCTGCTACAGAGGGAGGTTTTTCGGGGAGAGGTGGGGCGGGGCCCCTTGAGCCAGTGGAAGCAGGTGCAGGGGCGGGGTTTGTTACCGTTGTTGATGCCATGTGGGTTAAATTTAATCAGGTCCTCCAATGAGACGGCATGTAAATTCAACAAACAACACTTAATTGATATATTCCCACAACCTCCAGGCAAAATATGGCACAGATGTTTTAGTACTCGCAAACTCCAATTCAAATCACAGGAAATGGGGTTAGTTTACCGCCAGACAGAAGAAAAAAAACCTCACTGGAAACTTGGAGCCAGCCACAACATGTACACTAGATCACACAACAAAATACACAAAACAATTAATCCTGGGAACTCAGAACTGTTCCAGTAATAATTCTCTGTAGACTAAACTCATCATAGCCATCAGGAAATGTATCCCTTCCACATCTGTTAACTTGGGACAAAAACTTCCTCTAACTCCAACCAACATGGAGGAGGAGACTTACACACAGAATGTACTCAGTAATGCAAGTGCCAAATTCTTGAGCCAAGCCCAGGGGTGAAATTTAATCTCCCTACCAAACACACACAGTGCAACTTTCTCAGTCTGCCATCACTTTCCCTATCTGTAGTGTTAGCAGTCCACACAGCTCCAACTTCGGGACCCTGGGGAGGTGGCTCAGGGCACTTTACCACTCTTCACTCACAGTACAAGTAAAACTCCCTCAATGGATGGTCGGTTTTGTTAGGTTGAAAAATATTTCCACTAGTTGTTTATGTTGCAGCAAGAAAATCCACTTTCCCGTGTATGTTAGAAACATAGCAGTATGCATGCGGTTAATCTGTTCGGGCTATATACACACAGGCTGAGGGCCGGATGTACAAATATTGAAAAAGCTGGTCTTGGTTTTAGGGAGTGATGACCTTATTACAACCCTGACTTCATCCTCTGGCTAATACACATGTGTATATAGCAGCTGTGTAAGTTGTATCTGACTGCACAAAACAATATGATGTCAATTAAATCATTACACATCTCCAGTCAGTCACTAGCGACCACACTTCACTCACTAGGTTATCACAGGTTCATAAATATAACCTCTCAATGCCTTTTTACAATCAATCTAGCTTGTATTTTATAACCACATAAAACTTAGCACAAGTTCAGCCTACACTATTGAAATGTTTCCACTAGCCAACAATGGACCTTAATAATTAAGCCAAGTGTAGGAGAAATACTACAGCACCCCTGTTTCAAAGGCAGGCTATAAGATTTTCTGCAAAATTTATTTTCAGCTGGGAACTTAGTTCCAGGTCTCTATCAACCAGTTATATAAACCACTTATTCTAAATTTCCTCATCAAGTTAACATCTTCTTTATTTCTCCTGAATGTTTATCAAACAACTTAATCAGGGAATTTCCCAGCTGTTCTACTTTATCCCCTTAGGGAGTTTGTAAGATCTCAAGTCTCTGATCTTGCACAACAAACAGGGCACTAGTCTTAGTGTTAAACCCTGCCTTTGGTGAAGTAGATCCTGGCAGCCTGTACCTCAAGAGCTTTTTATAAACCCTACATGGTCTAACACTTGTAACACAGGTCACAGTAATGCCAGCAAAGCAATATTCCAGCCAGACCATTTAAATCATAATAATTGTAGAACTCTGTATAATTGTAGAACTCTGTACTGTCTACAGGCCACACATAGGTTTTTGAAGTTCAGCTTTTTCCATCTTCAGTTCAATGTAGGTGACAAAGCACTTCCTTGCAGTAAAAATAGTGTTTAAAATCACTTGAAGTCGGTCATCTATCACCCTGAGATAAGCTGTCTCATCACAAATAGATGCTCATGAGAAATGAGAAAGTAATATCTTTCTTGCATCACTATAAAATGTCAGGATTGCTTTATGATCCATGTCAAATTTTCTTTCGTTCCAGAAATGATTTGAAGTCATCAAATTGTGAAATAAGTATACAACTTACAAACTTTAGAAACTGATTATTTGTTTCTACCGTAGCACGTCTCTTGATCCTCTAAAGGCTAAGATCCATGGCTAGGCAAAATGATGCTACATGTCTTCAGAGAGAAATAAAAATGCAGGCTCCCATTGCCTGCTGAAGTTATACTGATGTAATGTTTGACTGAAATTCCTGTCTCACCAATGACTTCCTATCTCTTGCTTATGTAAATGTAAATGATCAAATTATTTTGTTGGCAGAAAATCAACTCATGAAATATTTGTAGAAGAGAGTGGATATGTGAAGCGGGTAAAATCCCTGTTTATACATGTTGTGCTGATCGTTTTGTTGTATCCTGTCTGCTGATCACCAGATGAAGCAGTAAGTACACATGTGTCTGATGGACAGTAATAGCCTATCAATGCAGTGCCCCTACTGTTATTGTCAGAGTACACGTCTCCAAATTAATGGCTCCATTCCTTACAAATATTGAGTTCATCTGTGTAGGACATGCTTTCCTCCCTGGCTATCCTGTAGCTGTGGGTTGCTGTATATAAGGTACCTAAAAAGTCACATTTTGTCCTCATGACTACAATATTTCTTGACCACACACTGTACTCCCCTTGGTCAAGCTTGAGTGTCAACTCTCATCTTGGTATCCAGAATGTCCCATTTCTAGTGGAAGCTTTTAACACAGCCAAGCTAATTGTTTTGGAAACATCCACAATGATCTCCTCTGAACCTCGCAGTCTGTATCAATACCGTGCAGTCTTTATCAATACCGTGCAGTCTTTATCAATACCGTGCAGTCTGTATCAATACCGTGCAGTCTGTATCAATACCGTGCAGTCTTTATCAATACCGTGCAGTCTGTATCAATACCGTGCAGTCTTTATCAATACCGTGCAGTCTTTATCAATACCGTTTGATCTGATGTCAAGCTTAAGGTCATATTGCAACCTTATTTTTAATGTTTCTGATGAAATAAAATCCTGATAATGGAACTATATGAAGACATTCAATCGTTACTTTATTTTTGAAACTGGTCTTGAAATTAAATCCTGGGCTGGTTAGTTGTGTTGAGCCCTTTTGTCCCTATTGTAAGGCACTGTGTGGCCCAGCTACTATGATCACACAAGTTTTACGCTGATAGAATCAATTGCTCGCATCAAAGCTTGAATCAGTCGGTAAGTATTGATCGCAAAAGTCTTTCTGACCAATGGATGCTGGCTTTATTTACGTTTTCCCCATTAAATCCACGAGTGAATCACTCCTGTGCCAGACAGATGGTCGGGTCACCATACACACTGCATCACCTGCCCGAGGCGCTAGCCCCGCCCCTTACTGTGACCATAGTAATGAATATTGATATATTTGTCAGAAAAACCAATGAGAAAATCACACACTTTTAGCAGAAGCCTCATCTGTCCACAGGCCTTAGAATATTGTTATAAATTTCCCGATTCATATCAGATTCCATTGAATTTAATTAAATGATAAGAAAGACAAATGTATAGGTCAGAGATCTAGAAAACACTTACTGCCTTGGGAAAACATTAACTTCCTTTGGATATCACAACAACTGTATCAGAGCTGGGCAGTTTTCCATCGTGAAGATTTTAGAGATAGACAGATGTGACAGACAAAAAGAAAGGTGGCAGACCGGTTTATATGTGTCATTTACTAACGTAGGTATGATGTTTACAGACTGGGGAGGGATAGTGTAGATACAGGCCCTTTGTGTCTGTTCCCTCTCAGCCAAATTAAAGAGTTGAAGGATAGTGATCAAGATTGGGATAGTTTCGAGTCAATCTTTCATGGCTCTTTCTATAAGATAGTCAGAAAAGCAGTTTTGACACAAGTATGTAATAACAAGTATAGCCTCAAACATCTGCAGTGACATTCTGTCTCTGTTAATAATTCTGAATTGACTATGGATATTTGATAAATAAGCTTGAGTTATAAACATGTGTGTGAAGGTATCTACCCGTAACCATCTGTCTCACTGTCAAATATCAACTCATTAATCATACAAATTAGCCTTAGCCTCAAACATCTGCAGTGACATTCTGTCTCTGTTAATAATTCTGAATTGACTTTGGATATTTGATAAATAAGCTTGAATTATAAACATGTGTGTATCTACCTGTAACCATCTGTCTCACTGTCAAATATCAACTCATTAATCATACAAACTAGCCTGCTTGTCCTTACATACAGTGCATGAGTAAGGTACATACCTCTGACATGAACCAGGGACCTGGTCATCAACATACCAGGGTCATGTATTGACATCTACATGTACATAAAGCTGTTACCAAGGTATCTCTGTAATACCTGTACACAGGTAAGGTGAAAGCATGCAAAAATCTACCTATGTACAGCAAGTTTGTTTTCTAGAATTAATAATATACTTATTCTAGCATGAAGGCTGAATCATGAATTATTTAAACAGCACACTGTCTTTTTCATCAGAGTTGTCTGACCTGAATACTAATGTATCGAGGAAGATACCATTACCTGCCACCAGCTGTGTATCACAGGTGTTTACAGGTACAGTTTGTATATATGAAGCCCACATACAGAGGATTTACACAACATCAGTAACTGGACCTGACCCTTTTGTGTGATATTTGGACCCCTTGTGGTGTGTACAGGGTCTGATGTGAACCTCTCTTGACACAGAGGTGGACTACAGGGACAATGGTCCCACCAGGTCTTTGTAATGGACCCTGGACACACATACTTATATACTAAACACTTCACAGCTGACATGTAGTCACACCTTAGAACATGAAATACTCCTTCACATATTATACTAGGTTCCTTATTCATGTCTCGATAAAGGAGCATATTGCTGCGAAAATTTGACAACATTGTATTGTTTACATTGTTAGAATGACTTCCCTGCCCCATATAACATTCTTAGTAATTCATATCCTACAGACATATGTTTACAAGGATCTAGAGTTATTTCGGGTTACCATTAATATTAATCCTTTGACCCATATATATTTTATACTGTAACAGTATAGTACATCATACTTCCTTATGCACAAGTTTCACAGCAGAAGTTTCATGTAGATATAGGATTAGGAAACCAGTATGATGCACATTGTCATAAGTCAAGTGAACACTCTAAAATGTTTGTCAGGATGTTTAACTCATTCATCCCTGAATACACATTTGAACTCTTCCAATTCAAAGGTTGGAATAGTTCTTTATGAAACTTCTGGGGTAAATGAGTTAAGATCAAATCAAGGAAGGTAACAAACCTCCATGATACAAGGGAGATAAATCAAGATGTACCACTTAGTCGGTGTCAAAAGTTTACAGCTGTGTGCCTTCCCATGGTGTGATATCAGATATTACCAGTATCTCAGTCAGCAGATTATTTCTACAGAAGCATATTGTCATGATATGCTTGAGTAGTCCCCTATTATGTTCACAGGTATTTCAAAAAGATGGGTATATAATGAATACCACACCTGGCACCGACAAACTGATTACTCAATCTGCACAGTTCTCAGTACATATCCCCCCTAAACTTCTCCGTTTACACCCAGGCTTGTTAGCTTTCACTTCAGCCTACACCTGTTAGCACCCCCCCCC